CTCGTCATCATGACTGGTATAGTGACGGAGTCAGAAAAAATCTTTCACCTTGGGTGGACCAGCCTTGAACTTAAACTTGTGACTGGAGCAACCTTTGAGGTTATAGAAACCTTCCTTCTTGCCCCCAACAAGGTGAAGGCAGTGTGAGTTTGAGTTATTACTTTGACGGATTTGGCGGAATTGACTCTCATCGCATCGTGCTGTCTTTTGGCAAGAACGGATTATTTGACCGTGCTCCACATCATTGAACTTACAGAGGTCTTTGTACCATTTGACGAAGTTGCAACCTTCTTGCCACCTTTTGTGGTGATAATGATATTGTCCATCACGACTATGATGTCCTTAGTGGTATTCTTGCTCTTTGTCTGAATCTTGTTAAAAGCCATAAATTCTGACGATGAGAATTTGTTGAAAATGATGTAGGAGAGAGATGAGATGCAGAGGATGTCCCACCGGGCATGCCAAAAATTTGTACACACAAATTTCATAGTCTGCAAATAAAATAACAAAATAGGGAGTAAATAGTAATTTATCAATTTATGTAATTGGAGTACAATTCTTTGAGATATTCTTTACAAAAGAAAGAAAATATCATCTGATTCGATCTCCTTTGTTGGTTGGATTCAAGGGCTGTTAGAACTTGATCTTAAATTGGGTTGTTGACAATTTTCTTCAAGTATTTGTCGTTGAAGAAGATCGCCAATGATTTCTGATCGAGGGCTAATGAAGTTTTATCTCGAACAGTGTTGTTTGATGATTCTTTGACCTTGTTGAATTAAAGGGCAGCACGATTTTGATATGCTTGTTGTTCTTTGTTGAATTTGAGGAGGAACGACACGGCTTTGGATGTGCTTATTGTTCTTCGCTTTCAAAGAGAATTTGGTGAATTTGGTGAAAAATGGCGAAAAATGGCACGACTTTGGATGTGCTTATTGTTGATCAACGTGGAATTTTGATGAAGAACGACACGATTTAATGTGTTTGTTCCTCTTCGTCTTCAAGTTTGGGTGTTGAGGATGAATGTCAGCAGAGTTTCTGTATTTCTCTCTAGAATTCTAAATTTTTGTCCCCTCTGGATTTTTGGCCCTCTGGATTTCTGATTCTCTAAATTTTTGAACCCCTTCCTCCTTCCTCCAGGCCTCTATTTTTAGGTTTCTTGGATTAATAGGATGATGACACGTGTCCTCTCCTGATATGGGCAAAATCATAATTGGGTCGGGCTGACTATATTGTGATGATTATCTATAAAATAATTATTCAAAATATATTTTATTAGGAATAATTATCTTTTTATTTAATCATCTGGGCTGAACTAATTAAATAATTTAAGTGGACCAAGTTTGGGCCCATTAAATAATTTAATTAAACATGAGACCCATATTTAATTGGTCAATTTGTCAAAACAAAAGTCCATAAAATTATGGTGTCTACAAAGTCACACAATTCTTCTGAACATTTTCACTGCTTATGACTTAATTATATCACTCTCACGCTCTCGCTTTCGAATTCGCTCTCGTTCCTACTTTCGCTTGATGTGATTTAGCTTGTAACTTATTTGAAACAATAATAATACTCCCTCCGTCCCATAATAGTTGTCCATCTTTCCTTTTTGGGTTGTCCCAAAATACTTGTCCACTTACCAAATTTAAATAACATATTTCATATCTTTCCATAAAATACCCTTAAAATTTTAAAAAATTTCAAACTTGATTATTATTAAAAAAATTTCCTAGTTGGTACTCACACACACACATGCCTCCACTGAGGTTCAAACCCCTAACCTCTCTTTGAGAAGTAGGGACTTGGTACCGCTGGACACCTGTTGGTGATTATATATATATATATATATATATATATATATATATATATATATTATTGAAACTTGAAATTGTAACTTTGTAATTTTCAAATTGGACAATGCAATAATTATATGTCCCCTTAAAAAGTTTTACTTCCTAGACATTTATTATGAGACAGAGGAAGTAATAATATATAAGGTGATAAGTAAGGATTGAATTATTTGCTAGTGGCAACTCGCATTAAAAAAAAAAATACAATAGAACCTCTAAAACCTATTGTATTTTACTTTTACACTACATTCATTTAGCTCCAGAAATAATTTTTGACAAATACAAATGCTATTCACTTTAAAAAAGGAAAAAATATAGCAGTCAAAAAGTTGGATATATATCTAGGTCATGACCAATGGTTATTTGTGAGTAGTGTTGGGGTCACAAGGAAGCCAGTTGCCGAAGCCATTACAAGGCTTATCATCCAAATAAAAGCTGAAAACTTCTTGTTCGTATGTAGTGGCTGCAATGTAGAATTGTGGATACCAGTACCTTAAGCTTGCAATATTTTTCAATTTTTCACAATTAATACTAATCCAATTACAGAATTCTACAATTTGTGTCTAGGACCAACTTTATGTGATATTGAAAAATTAGTAGCGATTTAGAGACAAATTCCACAAATAACGAATTTAATTTATGTGAGAAGGTCTCATCAAATGACTACCACACTAATATAAATTAAATTCAGTTCTTAAATTATTATTCTTAAAAAATTAACATTCAAGTTTATTTCGGCCATCAATATTTGTAAAAAACAATTTGGATTATGTAACGGATTGTTAAAGTGGAATAGAGTGGTTTTGTTGGATTAGGGAATAGAGTGGTTTTGTTGGATTAGGAAAGGAGAAATGTGGGTTTGCAATAGAACCGTTAGATCATATGTTTGTGTGTATAAATTTTCTTATTCACTGCTGAGTAAGAAATCAAAACTCATACATTATTATATACACTATTTCTATTGAGAGGCGATAGTCGCACTCACTCACGTTTTTCTTTTAAATGAAATGATAAAAAAAAAGTTCCTACAACTTCTTTTCTTTTCTTTTCTTTTTCTTTTCTTTTTTTTTTTCCTTCGGAGTCCTCACAAAGGAGATACTTTATTCAATACATATATTTTTTGATAGTCAGAAGAGATAATTTATTCAATAGTGATATATAATTTTTTTAGAAGTTTTTTTTTTTTTTTTTTTGGTCCTATTTTAAAAAATAATTTATTCAACAAAGTTAACTTTTTTAGTGTATTTTTTTTCAATCGTGTCCAATGCAGTAACTTATTTTTTTGTTAAAATTTTGCTGGGTCCTATCAAAATATATAATTTATTAAATAGAGATAACCCTTTTTATTTTTTGGTCTTGTCAAAAGTTTCCTACTTTTTTTTTTTTTTTTTTAATCTTGATAAAAGATATAAATTGTTCAATAAAAATATTTATTTTGGGTTTTTTTTTTTTGTCATGTAAAAATATATATGTGTATATATATATATATATTTGTGAAAATCAGAGCATATTGGAAAAGTAATAATTATTTACTTATAAAATTAAAATTAAAATACGCATTCGAGTTATTGGCTCGTCCGACCCGACAGCATTCATGAGTCGCTCGTTCAACTGTCCGTAGAAACCAAAAATGGAACCATTTGTGGTAACCAAAAAGGGGCTTGCCTAATTGTTTTGACTTATTTAACAGTATGTGTGTGTATATATATATATTTGTGAAAATCTGAAAGAACATATTAGAAAAGTAATAATTATTTACTTATACAATTAAAATTAAAATTATTATTTACTTTAAGATGAGAGTACGAATGTAGTTTATTGAAGTGCTCTCGCCTCCCTATCTATTTTCTCTATAATTTTGTTATTCTAAGTTTTTATTAATTTTTAATTTGGTTAATTACAATGACACTCCTTGAGATTTAGAGTATTGACACTCATATATAAGTCAGTTCTTTTTTAACACTCGTATCAGAAATTTAATAAAGTTGACAAAACACCCCTATACCCTGACACATAAATAAAAAGACCAATTTGCCATTTGACTTGTCAATTAAACTATTAAAAGTTTGAAATTACAAATTTAACCTTCTAAGTAATTTTAATTAACCAAACTTACCTTCAATCACTGCAACAGTATATACACCGAATACATATGTGTGTATATATATACATATCATCTCCTCTTTTATATAACATTTTGTAAAGATTAGCAAAGAAGATGGCTTTAGCATGCAGGGAGTCTGGAATATATGACTTGTTGAATTGGTTTATGTTTCCGTTCCTGATACCCACATTCTTTTGTTTTTCCCTCTTATTCAGTTTTGTAGTAATACTAAAAATTTTAAGCCGAAGGAATCACAAAAGCATGTGAAAAATCTATTTTTTTTTTTTTAATTTGCGACTGTGCCCGTTCTGGCAGTGTCACGATGGAGGGTAGCAATGTTGTCTAACATGGGTCAATAATAAGAAGCTATGGGTTTCATGTTTTTTTATTTTAATTTTATTTATTTGTTTATATATATATATAGAGAGGGAGAGAGAGACAGAGAGAATGGGAGAAGAGGTTGGTTGCCACCTTCACTGGCGGCACACCACCATAGCCACCACTCCACAACCCTACCACACCTACCCCTACTGGCGGCACACCACCATAGCCACCATCACCATACCACCATCTCCACCAACGCGTCTCTCTCTACCCTCTCATCTTTACACCCACACCCACCACCCTATCACAGCCCCGCCGCCACCCCATCACAGCCCCGCCGCCACTCCACAACCCCGCCACCCCCACCCCCACCCCCACTTCGAAGACTCCAACTTTATCTTTACAGTACCACCACACCCACCACCATCATCGATTACGAATCCATAGCTAAATTTTACAGAAGCCTTAGCCGAATTTAGGGCTTTAGTTCCCCAAATGCAACACTAACCAGTCTGATCAATTCATTGGGATTCGAACGAGGATTCGAACGAGGACTCGAACGAGGTAGGACAGTGCTTTGTTTGATTCCTCTAGTCGTGTGCCTAGAACCGCCTAACATCTTCCGTTAACTCGCCGCCAACGTGTGGATTCCGGCGGGTGATGGGTTGGCTCGGACTACGCAGAAGAGGAGGTGAGGAGGATCAGAGAAGAGAATAAATTGGATGGTAATTTATATTGCGGTAGCAATTGTAGGTGGTGGTGATGGTGGAGGTGGTGGTGGTGACGGCGGGTTTCTCATGAAGGTGAGGGTAGAGACAGAGAGCAAATCTTTCTGGGTTTTTTTTGGGAACAGAGGGTAGAGAGAGAAACATATGATTTAAAAAGGGTAATTGTGTCATATAATTTTTTATTGAATGGACCAGATGGGTAGTTTTGAAATCAACATTCCTTCCAATATTAGCAAAGCTGAAGTAGTGCCGGAAAGAGGGAACAAGTTCGGCAAGGCCGGGGTTTTCTCCTTCAAAGGTTGGATATGGAGTGTTTGGGAGTTCTGCAAAGAAGATAGGAACAGAGTAATTTTCTCACTGAAAGTGGGGCTTGCTGTTCTCCTTGTGTCTTTGCTCATACTACTTGAAGCACCCTATCAAATATTTGGCGTTAACATCATCTGGTCCATTCTCACTGTGGCCATTATGTTTGAATACACAGTTGGTATGGATATATATATATATATATATATATATATATATATATATATATTTAATTTAGAAACATCACACGCAATCCCAAAGCCTAGACCATGCATGGCAAACATTTATTTACATGCAAAAACAAGTGCATATATTCATTTAGCTTATATTGGTGAATTATAGCAGCTTACAATTAAGTTAGATACATACTATAGTATATACTACTAAATTAAGTTGGTGGAATCTATGAACTAACTTCTTTTTGTTATGGCATCATTTATGTATGGACATTCAATTTCTAAGGTGCAACGTTTAACCGAGGATTTAATCGAGCACTTGGAAGCTTGCTTGCCGGAATCTTAGCCATTGCTATTGCCCAGTTGGCCTTAATCTCTGGTCGAGTTGCAGAACCTATTGTAATTGGTATCAGCATCTTCCTCATTGGTATGTAGTGGCTAATATATATTTTGCTAAATATTCTGTATAAATGTAATTTACAGGACAATAATTAATATCTTCATTTCAAGCTTATATTATTATTATCATGGATTAAGTGCAAAAAACCCCTCCTAAACTATTGCCTTTTTGCAAATAACCCCTTGAACTAAAAAATCGCTCTCGTGAACTATTGATTTGTTGTAATTAAGGACAAATCTATCACAAAAGACTATATTACCCTTTCTCATTAAAATTTTCATTTCTTATTAAATTATTTTTATTATCTTTTCTCTTATGTAAATATTAATTATACTATTTAGCTTAATTTTATTTTTAGTATCAATTTATCATAAAAATAAAAATAAAAATAAAAAAACAAAAGAAAAAGATAAATAGATTAGTAACTACTATTTTCTAAATTGATTAACTTATTATTAAAACTTTATTATTTATAATAAAACGTATTATAACCAATTTAAACATTTTTATTGTAAAAAAATATCATTTTTTTCATATAATATATTAATGAAAATTTAATAAAATACTTTTGAAAAAAATACCTTCTTTTCATGCAATATATTCATTAAAAATTAAAAAATTAATTAATTTTTAAATAAAATTTATACTAAAATTTTTTATTTAAATAATTAATTAAAAAAATTAAAGGTAAATTTTTGCAAATTTAACGGAAAATATCTCATCAAATTAGTATGAATTTTTTCATAATTTATTTAGATAAGAAAAATATATTAAATGTAATTCAATAAGAAGGGGCATTACGGTCATTTAATGAAATATAGTATAGTCTTTGGGGTATGTTGTAACAAAATGAATAGAGTGGTTTTGTTGGATTAGGGAATAGAGTGGTTTTGTTGGATTAGGAAAGGAGAAATGTGGGTTTGCAATAGAACCGTTAGATCATATGTTTGTGTGTATAAATTTTCTTATTCACTGCTGAGTAAGAAATCAAAACTCATACATTATTATATACTCATTCTTATAGTCGCACTCACTCACGTTTTTCTTTTAAATGAAATGATAAAAAAAAGTTCCTACAACTTCTTTTCTTTTCTTTTCTTTTTCTTTTCTTTTTTTTTTCCTTCGGAGTCCTCACAAAGGAGATACTTTATTCAATACATATATTTTTTGATAGTCAGAAGAGATAATTTATTCAATAGTGATATATAATTTTTTTAGAAGTTTTTTTTTTTTTTTTTTTGGTCCTATTTTAAAAAATAATTTATTCAACAAAGTTAACTTTTTTAGTGTATTTTTTTTCAATCGTGTCCAATTCAGTAACTTATTTTTTTGTTAAAATTTTGTTGGGTCCTATCAAAATATATAATTTATTAAATAGAGATAACCCTTTTTATTTTTTGGTCTTGTCAAAAGTTTCCTACTTTTTTTTTTTTTTTTAATCTTGATAAAAGATATAAATTGTTCAATAAAAATATTTATTTTGGGTTTTTTTTTTTTGTCATGTAAAAATATATATGTATATATATATATAAATATTTGTGAAAATCAGAGCATATTGGAAAAGTAATAATTATTTACTTATAAAATTAAAATTAAAATACGCATTCGAGTTATTGGCTCGTCCGACCCGACAGCATTCATGAGTCGCTCGTTCAACTGTCCGTAGAAACCCAAAAATGGAACCATTTGTGGTAACCAAAAAGGGGCTTGCCTAATTGTTTTGACTTATTTAACAATATGTGTGTGTATATATATATATTTGTGAAAATCTGAAAGAACATATTAGAAAAGTAATAATTATTTACTTATACAATTAAAATTAAAATTATTATTTACTTTAAGATGAGAGTACGAATGTAGATTATTGAAGTGCTCTCGCCTCCCTATCTATTTTCTCTATAATTTTGTTATTCTAAGTTTTTATTAATTTTTAATTTAGTTCATTACAATGACACTCCTTGAGATTTAGAGTATTGACACTCATATATAAGTCAGTTCTTTTTTCAACACTCGTACCAGAAATTTAATAAAATTGACAAAACACCCTTATACCCTGACACATAAATAAAAAGACCAATTTGCCATTTGACTTGTCAATTAAACTATTAAAAGTTTGAAATTACAAATTTAACCTTCTAAGTAATTTTAATTAACCAAACTTACCTTCAATCACTGCAACAGTATATACACCGTATACATATGTGTGTATATATATACATATCATCTCCGCTTTTATATAACATTTTGTAAAGATTAGCAAAGAAGGTGGCTTTAGCATGCAGGGAATCTGGAATATATGACTTGTTGAATTGGTTTATGTTTTTTCCCTCTTATTCAGTTTTGTAGTAATACTAAAAATTTTAAGCCGAAGGAATCACAAAAGCATGTGAAAAATCCTTTTTTTTTTTAATTTGCGAGTGTGCCCGTTCTGGCAGTGTCACGGTGGAGGGTAGCAATGTTGTCTAACATGGGTCAATAATAAGAAGCTATGGGTTTCATGTTTTTCTATTTTAATTCTATTTATTTGTTTATATATATATATATATATATATGTATGTATATTTAGAGAGAGAATGGGAGAAGAGGTTGGTTGCCACCTTCACTGGCGGCACACCACCATAGCCACCACTCCACAACCCTACCACAACCACCCCTACTGGCGGCACACCACCATAGCCACCATCACCATACCACCATCTCCACCAACGCGTCTCTCTCTACCCTCTCATCTTTACACCCACACCCACCACCATATCACAGCCCCGCCGCCACCCCATCACAGCCCCGCCACACCCATCCCACCCCCACCACCACTTCGAAGACTCCAACTTTATCTTTACAGTACCACCACACCCACCACCATCATCGATTACGAATCCATAGCTAAATTTTACAGAAGCCTTAGCCGAATTTAGGGCTTTAGTTCCCCAAATGCAACACTAACCAGTCTGATCAATTCATCGGGATTCGAACGAGGATTCGAACGAGGACTCGAACGAGGTAGGACAGTGCTTTGTTTGATTCCTCTAGTCGTGTGCCTAGAACCGCCTAACATCTTCCGTTAACTCGCCGCCAACGTGTGGATTCCGGCGGGTGATGGGTTGGCTCGGACTACGCAGAAGAGGAGGTGAGGAGGATCAGAGAAGAGAATAAATTGGATGGTAATTTATATTGCGGTAGCAATTGTAGGTGGTGGTGATGGTGGAGGTGGTGGTGGTGACGGCGGGTTTCTCATGAAGGTGAGGGTAGAGACACAGAGCAAATCTTTCTGGGTTTTTTTTGGGAACAGAGGGTAGAGAGAGAAACATATGATTTAAAAAGGGTAATTGTGTCATATAATTTTTTGATATTTTGGATTAATAATTGATATTTTATCGAAGGGCAATATCGTAGCAACCAATAAATGAAATTTTGTGCATGAGTGATTGGTTGAGCGCGCTAGATTGTATAAAAAGTTTTGGTGTGGGTGATTTATGAGGCATGTTGAATGCGAGCAATATAATTACTTTATATTCGTAGATGAATAGTGGAAAATGTTTTTTTTTAGGAAATTATTTGTACAATGGAAAAAATATTGAAGTGTATGTCGTTGTAGGGAGAAAGTGAGAGCTCCATAATTGGCGGGAATGTGGGTACTCTCTGTCCTCCGGCCATTGTAACTGACAGTGGTTTGTTACTGGATTCTTGTTTAATTTCTATCCAACTGCCCTTAGTTTCTTTAAAACGATTAGTTATTTTTATTTATAGTTGGGGTTAACTCTAACTATTAGGATTTACTATTCCTATTCCTTTTCAGACCTTCCCTAAAACTAGCAGAGATATGATTTTTCTCTCAATCAGTCCACATCATTATTAGTCATGTTAAATTAAGTCCCATAAAGCGTAAAGGGAGCACGAGCGAATTCGTGGAAGCGCTAAAAGGGCAAAATGAAGTCACAAATAGTGGCAATGGGAGCGTAAAGCATAAGCGAGAGCAAAAGCAAATTTGTAGGAGCGCGAAAACGGCAAAATTAAGTCACAAATAGTGACAATGGGAATGAAAGCGCACACAGAACGTGAGAGCGACACTCGTTGAAGAAGATTGCGTGACTTAGTTGTTAAGAACTATTACTGTATTACACTTTAACCACAATTATTACACGAGTTACCTAACCCATTTAATAAATTGATCAAAACTTAACACCATGCACAAAATAAAAACACATGACACATTTTTAAATTATTTTTACCATCAACATAACACATTTGGCTAAATATATCATCTCCAACTCATCGCCACTACTCATTTAATTATAGTGCCAAATATCAATTACGATCGGAAAGCCAAACTCCCACGTGTTCGTCAAATTTTCTCTCAAATAACGTCCCCCGCAACATAACTATTTATAACCTGAAATCCACAGCCCATCTATTAATAACCCGAAATCCAAAACATCCTCCACCTACATCTAATTTTTAATATGAGCACCTTTCTTTTTTCTTTCCTTCTTTCTTTTCTTTCTTCCTCAAAAGATAACTCACTATTTGTACACACATGAGATTTAAGTCGCTGAGTTACATAACGGAAGGATTTCAAACCCATATTTGGTACATTGGATACAGTTCGTTTATATAATTCCCTCTCACACATAGTACACTAGATAAACGAATCAATTTTGTCAACTTAAATGGTATTATATAGATGATGGGTCTTGTTTAGTTCTATATTCTATTTATTTATTTTAAGTGAGACCTTTGAATTTGAATTTGAATTTTTGTCCTTTCAATGAACTAAATAGCACGGTTCTAAATTGATGTCAAGTATTGAGGATATTCTGTCAAATGAATCGACACACCAAAACAGTATTACTCGTTATTTAGTCCATAGGATTTAAAATTTTGTCACAAATTGTAACCCTAAAACAAGTGGTGATGTACTGAAGTATGTAATATGGATTCTATGTAATTAAGCTTTATTCTCTTCGGTACATCACCATATCTAATTAAGCTTTATATATATATATATATGTTCAAGTCCGAGAGCAAGATCAGCATGCAAAATAATGAATGCCAATGATTAGGTCTATCTCTAGTTTCTCCCTCATTTTTTTTCCTTTCTTTTCCTTTTATATGAACAATTAATTAACACACAAGTACCAATTGTAAAGGAAATTTTAAACAATCACCATATTGCCAAGGTCGATTCTCTAAGCCATGAATTGACACTACTGAAAACACTATTTCACTTCACAATTCAACCACCTTCAAAAAATATATATGGAGACTGCGACAATTGAAAAAGAGAGGACAAATCACAGTTAGTCAGGCAGGCTAAATCACAACATATAGCATGTACAACGGACCAGAAATTGTCAATGATTCGATCAGTTGGAAGGAAAACCACAGGACAAACAATCAGTTAGGCAGGCAGTTGGATGGAAAATCACAGGACAAACAATCAGTTAGGCAGGCAGGCTCGCCGCACGTTGCATCCACGGCCAGCTCAGCTCACAGAGATCACAAGGAGAGTTTCCATCGTTGTCCTTTATATCCGTGCCAGCATTTTGCTTCACAAGGAACTCGGCTATGGCTTCTCTCTCGCAGACAGCAGCATAATGCAAAGGGGTTTGGCCTTCATTGTCCTTCCAACAACAACAATAGCAAGTCATGGAAAAAAAATTAGAGAGTTTTTTTTTTTTTTTTTGATAAATTAGAGAATCATTTTTTTATTGAACCACCCTCGTAACTTCTCTAACCCAAAATATAGTTCCCACCAACTAGATGATCAAACCTTTCGTTGCTTGGGTTATAGAGGTGTGGATTCAAAGGCATTTAATTTACGACTTCTTCGGAATTGAAAAGAAGGGTCCTAGATTGTTCTCCTAAGGCAAAAGAACAACCAAATCGTTTGCAGGCATGTGTTCTTTTAGATGAATGTGATTGATGCGATGAAAAATCATGGGGTTAAGATCTTGAAAATATTTTTCAAAATTGCTTTAATACCTTTGAGCTATCTAAAACCTATGCTAGAGTTCAAATGTTTAGGTAGATCTTGCCAGGTGTAAAAGCCTACTTCTCTGAGATATTTTACTGAAAATGCACAAAAAAAAATTTATTGTGTTCAATGTTTTGGGACCAACTACATTTGTCTTAGTGTAGTGGTAATTTATGATCACTATGGTGATTGGAGTCCTCTAACACCAAATAAAAATAAAAATAAAAATTTCTTTATCAGGAAGTCCTGAAGGGAGATCAAAACAAGTCAAAACATTAAAAAGGACTGGAGGATAACAGATGTTGCACAATCAGTTAAGCACCTCCCTTGTGAAAATGCAAACCCCCAAAAAAATTATATTATATATATATATATATAATACATTATTGAGCATAATCCTTTCAAGATTTTTTTTTCTTTTAAATTTTCTTTTATTTTTATTTTTTTCGACGGGATGGTGGTGTTTCCAACAAGTGTACAAATGATTCATATATTGTGGAGAGAGAGAGAGAGAGTCGAAAAATGATGGTAGCAAACAAAAAAAAATTCATATAATATTATTTTCATTAATTAACATTTACATCCCCTAGATGATGTGCATGTGGAATGATAAGCCATCTTTTTTAGCATGCAAGATTAGGGGTTTGACAACTAAGTACAGAATAAATCATTAAAACCATGTTTTCTAAATTACCTTTGCATTTATATCAGCATTCCTTGTTACAAGCAATTCCGTGATACTAAGATGCCCACGATCTACAGCCCAATGCAATGGTGTCCTACCTTCACTATCTGCGATTGTTCCAGAAAACAGTTATATAAAGTCAGGTTTATAGTTCTTGCATGCACATAATGTTTACAACTGGTTTTAATAGATACAGAGGGATAATGTACAAAAACAGAGAACATGCAAATATGTGTTAATTGTGCAAGAGGAATTCTACAAATTACAAAAAAAAATTATACAGATCATGCATAAAAACAAAAGGGAGTTTATACATTGAAAGCCTTCAGGAAAGGAACACATGCTACCAAATTTGTGCATAAGATGATATAGATGTTAATAAATTTTGCACATAAGATGGTGTGTGTTAACTAAACTCAAAAGTAAGTATTTCACATTTTCGACATCTGAAGAGTTCAAGAAAGCAATTGATGCTACCACATTGTAAGCCTAAGATTTATAGATTCTAGCAAATTATCAGCATGATGTGGCATGTTTGGAAGGAAAGAAATACACACTCCTGAGGAAACCAAATTGTTAATGTAAAATAAAATCTCATTCGGTCTTCTAGAGAAGAAGGCCCAACGCTTTTCTTTTTTTTTACCCTTTGGAGATCACTTACTGTGATGGATCAAAGTTTTGCCTGATACCATGAAGGACTCAGCCTATCTAGGTATCACTAGGCTCCGAGAAAAAAATGTTACACAAAAAGATAAAAAATTGTTGAGTTATGCCCCATTGGTATAATCTTTCCTCCCTTAAAGGGAAGGTGAGGGGTTCCAGCCCCGTAGTGGGCAATTTGAGTTGACTTGAGTACAAAAAATTAATGGGATGACGCAGACTTGACCATCATCTTGAATTGCTAACTCACCAATAAGAACTTATAATTACACATTCATATCATTATACATGCTAGGGTTTAATAATTGCATGTCTACGTACTTCTTTTTTTTTTTTTTTTTTTGATAAGTAATTGCATGTCTACATACAAACTTTTTAGAATGCATAAAATTGTTTTCAAATGTTTCTAAAGAAATTCTAAAGGAGAAAGGACACAGAATTTCAATCGATGATGGATTAATTGAAACCCTCTGGAATAGGTTCAATCAAACTAGGAAGCACGGGCACTCGTCCAAGGGTGCTGTGACGGTGCCCCACACGTCCTGCACAAACATGCATCAGACGTGGCTAGGAGGAGTGCCTTAAATTTAAATATTTTTTCCTAATTGGACACGGCCAAGCAACAACGGGAACACATTTGGGACACTTTCAGGATACGACAAGGTAGTTCTATAATTATTTTAGAAAATTCCAATACTATTATAAAACATATTACATGTTACTTAGAAATATTATATAAAGTTTTTGAAACAAAAACAACTCTAAACTTCATGATTACATTCATAAGAGTGTGGATAAAATGAGTAAAAATTAAATTTTTGTATATATAGTAATATATTACTGTACTTTTAATGAATCCATACCATGTCAATGTCCACTCTTTTTTCTTTTCTTTTTTAAATTTATTTTATATTTGACGTATCATCGTGTCAATATCATACTTGTGTCCCATGTCCGTATCCAACATCCATGTTTATAGCGATCGAACCTGGAGAGCACATTGATCAAAGGCCACTGGAATGGCTTCCATCAATCGAAAATCTGGTTTTCTGAGTGTTGTAATTCTAATTTCTAAAAGGTTCTATATCTCCTATTTCAAGACTCCGATATCGGCTATACACGGGGATATAGTCAGTCTAGGGAATGATTTAATACAAATACACATCTAGATTGTTTTTTTTATAGAGTGTATACAGTATACAGATGTAGACTACAAAATTTTTCTTTTTCAATTGTTTAACATGTTGCATTAGATGGTAAATTACTATTGAGGAGTACTAATCATCATCTTATGGAGTCTAAATTATCATCAACACCAAATCATAGAACCAACAACAAGACGTTACCAGTGACTAGTCATAGAGATCAAAACACAGGTTAAAGAGTGAATTGCATGTGAGGCAGATTCGTTGACTGGAAATAACAGAGACCGGGTTGGATCATTGTGCAAGTCTGGGTCAGATGCAACTAGGAAATTCTTGGGTTTAGAATCTGTGAACCTATATTTCTATTACCATTATTTTGTTAGCAGTGAATTGGATCTGCCTGGACAAAGTCTCGCAATTTTTCCCACTGGAATTTCATGTAAAAACATGTTTGGTTGCCTGGTTTATTTATTTTTGCTCTCAATAGTTTTGCAGAGTTTTGAAGTACAAATTTTTTATTTAAACACCAGTTATTGTTAGATAAAAATTTAACAAGATATATACACCCCCTCCATATCTTTTTTAGGGCATAGCATAGTCTGACTACTAGAGCCTAGGGTTACAATCTATAATCCCTCAAAATTAAACTCTAGAGTACCCATCCACAAAGCACATTTTCTTGCATTTCGAAAAAATTTTGTGCTTTCAATACTCTTTTGTATTACTTGATCCTCCAGCATATTTTACCATGCCCCCTTCTTTGTGTTTATTTTTTGTTATACATGCATACCTAGAATTTACATTATGTGACATGACTTGGACCTTAGTAAAGCTTCACTAGTCCAAGCAATCCAAGCTCCTTGAGTTTGAGTTAGGCTCAACAGATTCGCCAATCAACCTAACAACTTTATTAAAAAGCCTCCTGAGCCGTTCTTGACCACTCAGTTTGTTTAACTTCACAAACAATACGTTTGTCAACTTAATATCTAAATTACTATAAAATGTAAAATGACAGGAAGATGCAATTTAACATTAAAATAAAAAATAAAAAATAAGACAACTGTAAAGTAACCAACCCTTCAAATTCACAGTAACACCGCTCTCAATACATTCTAGCATGTTCTCCACATCTCCTTCTCTAGCAAAGGCATGTATAGCATCCATTTTTCTGAAAGGAAAACAAGGAACCTTCAACATTCATAACAATTTCCTTTTTCCAAGAGATAATTATTTTTGGCAAATAAGTAAATGTTTCACATATATATGAGCAGCTTCACAAGAAATTCCTAATACAGACGAGGCATTCAGTTATCAACGAACACGTTATTCCAAAAATTATACATCTTAACTTAATTAAATAAAATGACTTGTACTTTATATCCACACGTAATACATGTCTTCTGTATGTCATAGGTCCTTATCCCATCATTCCAAGCCTTTACAATGTGAAACAATACCATTATCATCTATTGGACAAGAATTGTGAAAGTCATCTTGAAATAACTAATCACATAGTACACTGGTAAAACACCATACATATTCCTTCTTTTCAACTTTCTACTCTCTATTTAGTGTGAGAATCGGGTCAATAGCCATTTCACTAACATCCTCGTCTTCTCTACTTTAATTAGAAATAACAGAAATAGCAAAAAAGAAATAAAGAAAGTAAATCTACAATCTAAGAAGCACAAACACTTTCAAGAAGGAGCAGTGTCCAAGTCGGACATTTGTCGAACACTGACACATCTAGACATGTGCCCAACACATCTTAAGCAAGTCCATGACTCAAAATTGAAGTCCTTAATTTCAGACAAACATGATCAATACTTCTTGGGCATGTGTTAAAATCTTAACCACCTAGAACATTACATATCAAGTACATACACATACAAATATAGACATTCAAAAATATATGCCGTCTCATTGTTACTTATTTCTCTATGTGAAAGTTGATTATAATTGCATATCATAAAATATAAATATCATGTTATTATCACAAATAATATTTAGTTTTCACAATATATATATATATATATATATATAAGATTCTATTAAAATATATTTTATTTCCGTGTCTTGGACACATCCATGCCCTACTAATTATATATTTTCCATGTCGATGTGTCCATGGTGTGTCGTGTTTGTGTTCATGCTTCTTAGTCCGCAACCTACTGTAATAGCTGAACTTCCTAATCATCACATTAAGTTATTCCATATTGCATAATTGACATGGAATATCGTGTAAATATAACTTGTCTTAAGGTTGACTGAACCCCCGAGTACGTGGAAAAAATACAACAGTTGCTATTAGAGCCCGTTATACATCATAAGCAAGAGGACAACTAAAGTACAGAAGGCAAGGAGCATGATGACTTCAGCCCAATCCAATATCACCCACTACAGGGGAGCAAAGCTTTCACCTCAAAAAGATAATAAAAAATAAATAAATAAATATAAAAGTTACAAGTTAGTTGAGACTTTAAAAACTAACTTCACTAAATTCTAACAAGCCTTCTAGCAGTTTATGTATATTCTAGCACAAAAGAACCCCTGGATTCAATTATGTGTAAATGGCAAATACAATTATGAACTGGGAAGCATTCAGCCCATTCCTTCGTCAGGCTTGGATAGCCCTTTTCAAAGATCATGCTGTGCCTTCAATTAGAGAACTTCAATCCAGACTAACTTGGATTGGGCTTAGGCTGAGATCGTTGACAACCAAACTATCTACAGAAATTAAACACAACCTTATATACACGCACGTTCACGCGTATACATATATGTGTATATTTGTATACAGAGACACACACATTATTTGATAGACTTTTAGAAATACACAAATACTGATGGGGCTAGAATTCAACTTAGTTGCAAGTCCTCAACCCAATCCTTGGGCAGGCTTGGACACAGCCTTTTCCCAATATCACGTGGGGCTTCAGTTAGAAAACTTCAATCCGGACTCAATTTGGATTGGGCTTGGGCTGACAGTGTTGATCTGTTGCTCCTGGCATAAAAAGAGCATATCTGCGACAAATTATGACCGATAAATGTCATCAAAAATCTGTAGTGAAAACCAGCCATTCTTTTAGAATATAGTTTTGAAAAGTCAAAACCATCTCCTCATTATTAAGCTGTCAGTTTTTAAATGAAAAACTGAAAAGCGAGAAGGTTCTGCCCAAGCCCTTGAGAGAGAAAAGACCTTCTCTGAGAAAACCCTTCTTTCCTGTAAAAACTTCCTTTAGTAGAAGAGAAACCATTCTTCTCCATTCAAATCCCAGCTATAAATTAAGTAAAAGGATGGAAAGAAAAATATACGTAAATTAACTAAGGAAAAGGAAAAATTAGAGACTCTAATTTAATTAAGTGTATCAAAAAGAGAATCATCTCTAATGAAGTGTATCAAAAAGAGAATCTAAGCATGTTCACGAAAGATGATAAAATTAGAGAAAAGTGATGAAAGATATTTTGAGAAGTGGAAACTGGAACGCAAATTATATAGGAAGTTTAGATTTAAAAAAAAACTATAAAGAGATTAGAGAAATATATTTTGCATAGGATTAGGGTTAATGAGATAGTGACAGGTAGCGCCTTAGGAATATACAACATTCCTATTAAGGTGTGGAAATGTTTAGAAGATGATGACTTGCGTTGGTTAACAAACTACCTAATAAGATCATAACATCTCTAAGAAAATGTCTAAGTGGGGCAAATTATAATAATAATAATAATAATAATAATAATTGAATTACCTGTATATAAAAGATGAGGGAAAGACCAGAAGTTGCACAAATTATTGTGGTATTAAATTAATGAGTCGAGAGTAATTAAGCAACCACTTGGACTTGATACAATAGTGTCAAAAACCAATTTGGATTTATGATGAAAGGTTTACAATGTACTGTTCATTCACAAAGCAGATTATGGAAAGCTCTAGAGAAGAAAACAATGATCTTCATGTGGTCTTATAGATTCTAATGTTATTTGCGATAGGATCCCTATACATATACTATAATAAAACTTAGGAAACAAAAGAATCCCAAATAAGTTAAATAACTATATTGACATAATAAAGAACGCGTATAATGGAATTGTAATTATAGTAAGAACTGCAGGAAAAAAAAGAAAAAGTTAATTTATAATTTTTATAGGCTTAATTAAAGGATCACACTTAGCCCTTATATTTTTGCCTTAGTCAACAAAGAAAGTCAGAGACAAAAGAATGGTTTTACCGGGCAAGGCAAGTCTTGGAGAGATGCCTTGCAAGCCGAAAGCGAGATATGTATGATGCAAGAGATTTTCTGACCATGTAGAAAATCATCGAATAGAGGTAGTTTACTTCGTTCCCATATTCCTGTAGATAGTACGAACAGAATTCTAAGACGGCCACGAAATGTCTCGGCCATTAGATTGATTTTGATTGAATAGTGAGATGATCGACTGGTACTACTGACGCTTGGACATGTGGGATCCGAGCTCTGATTGGATGTCTGGGACAAGCCGCATTTAATGAATCTCATGGGTGTCATGATTGGATGAGATTAAAAGGATGTCATGACATGATGGTTTGGGCAGAGGATCTCTTTATTAGACTTGGGTTCATTGGTGTATGTTATTGATGATATAGTTAGTTTTATATAAAGGATAAAAGTAAATACTATAATACAACAAGACGAAAGAGATAACCTAAAGAGTGAATATTTCCATTGCCTACACTACATTAAAGAGGGAGAGATTGAAGGTGTTGTTACTTAATCACAGCAAAATCGATCATATAGAAGAGTGCTTTAGTTATCTTAGATCAATGTATACCCTATTAAAAGGTAAATTATAAAATAGTTACTACACGGATTCTCGTCTAAGAGTAGTCACTTCGTGTAAAATAATGCTAAAGATTAGATATGCATATGGTCTTCCCCCCCAAACCCTATATAGATGTGAACAAAAACTGGTAATGATTACTACACCAGCCATACTTTATTAGATAGAATGTTAAGCGATTAAGTAACAAAATATTGATAGAATAAACATAATTGAAATGTGAACATTGAGATATATGTGTGCTAAGACACAAAATGATAAAACTAAAATAATTATGTTTGTGAAATGGTTCAGATAACTCCACATGAAGATAAAATAAGAAAAATCAACTAAAACGATTTAGTGTTGTGTAGGAAATCTGTTAAGTACACCAGTAAGGAAGAAGATGTGTACCACATTAACAGCAGTGTTAAGGGAAGGTAAAGCCAAAACTCAAAAAGGTCGAGTTTGTAAAAAAGATGTAACTGAAATTATAGCCTTGCATAGAGCAGAATGGCAAAACAAGACTCATATAACTAAGATCAAATAGTTAAGATAAGATTGTAGTTAAGTTATACGACTCCCAAACACTAGTTCACTAACTTGATAGTCTTCATTTTTGAATCCACTATATGCATGTTTGACATGGCTCTTGCAGCCATGATGCTTGCAGAGGACGGATTGCAACTAGACAGATTGATTGCTTTCATGTTCTTTTTGTCAAAACATGGTGCTTTATTTGATTTAATCAAATTCACTCGTGTTCAGAAAAGAAAAGGAAAACTGATCAATTAAACCTAATCTGACCATGCTCAACGTTAACTAGCAACCAGAAGTTCCAAAATTCGCGCTCAGATTGAGCTTCAGTCTGAGTATCTGGAGCGTTGGGCCCCTAACTTGACCCAACCCGTCCAAGTTGCAACTTGCAAGGGAGTAAAAAACAATTCTCACTATGTACAAAAATTCAGTGACACAAAAACACATGCGCAAACAATTACAACAATAGGATTAGTCAACTTCAAAAGAAATGGTAGCCTATATCTATACCAAATCAGAATAAATCCAAAAACACACATCATTTTCACATGAAGTGGAAAATCTATTTGATACTAAAACTCATTCATGTAAGAATCTAGAGAAGAAGCTTACAGCTCGTTTTCAGATTCTTCCTCGTAAACGAAGGTGCTGAAAACAGGTCCCATCGGTCCTCTAGTATCTGCACTTGATTCACCACTCCTATCTCCATCTCTTCTCTTCTGTTATCGATGTGTAGAAGGCAGGGAATGAGAAAGAGGGTTAATCAGTTGTACAGTAGTATGATGAAGGCAGCATGCTAGTAGTAGAAAGTAAATGATCTCACGGTAGTTGATCCAGTTGCCCAAGTAGGATATAACTCTGTAACAATCGTAATATACTTCAGCATAGCCTCTTCTGGGGGCATAGCACCCAATTTATTCCATGCTTGCCTGGCACATGTCACCAAAATAAATCTTTAAAATTTTTTTTTTTCTAACAAGTAAGAGAAAGAAACCAAAATAAATCTTTTATCAGTCCTCCAAAAAAATCTTTAACTTATATATATCACCAATATATCCAAAAGAAATACAAGGGTAAGCTATCAAACTAATTAGAAAAAGATATCTATATTAAGTTTCTGTTTGCTTTTTACTAATTCCAGTAAAACACAGAAAATCTTCAGATTATATATACAGGATACTTACATCATTCAAGAAAATACAAAGCATTGTGCTCCAGACCACTTATATTTACATTATGTCAAATAATTTATTAGAGCAAAGGAACTAGAGGGGGATAAAGAAAAAGAAGTAGATGAAATGGCAGGTGGTTCACACTCGTAAGGAAATAGTATTAAATTTATCCTCATGCTACCTCGATTCAAACACAGAGTAAATCAAGAGAGAGAACTATAATGAAATTGAACAAGGGTCCAAAAATTGCACCATTCTCATAATGCACAGATAACAAATTCAACAACCACCCCACCTCTCCCAACTCTAAAGAATGACAGTAATTTATCTAATCATTAATAAGCATGTTGGGAATTAATCCCCTTCATTCGGCACAGTGGAAGTAAGACACAAACATGCACACATAAAAACACAATATTTACTTGATTTGGCCGAACTCGACCTATGTCCATGGAGAGAAGAAATTCCACTATAAGGAATCAAGAAGAGAGTATACAATTGCAAGGAATGCCCACTCACTCACTGCCTAATGAGAAATTACACCAGTAGAGATTTTGAACACCGGATCGTGTATACACACTCTCTGCTCAAGGTGTGGTGGTGGATACCCAAGCCTTTCACGATCTAACACTCCATGAGACCCTCGCTCACCATCAGTGTTCCACCATTCACTCACCATCTCCAACCCCACACTCACCAATTTCTATGAAGCTACATCTCTACTTTGCGCCCAATCTATTCTCTTCTCTTCTCATTCACTCCCTCCTCCATTCCTTTGTCTTCTTTGCCTTCTCCACTCAGTTCCACGTCTATTTATAGAGTACCAAACCCAATACCTTGTTGGACAAGAAATACAATTCCTTGGAGCCCAAGACTTGCCTAACAAGAAATTACCTTATACAATACAACTCTAAAATAGAAACCTAATTAGAATACAATTCCTACATAACCAATAGTATGCCTTCCACCTTCATGAAAGCAAGTTTGTTTTGGATATTAAACCATATATGCAAAACCCTAAAAGAACTAAATCTTTTCATTTACCTTTTATTCCTTTGTAACCAGTGTGCAACCCAGTACAACTAGAAATAGTAGTAGTAGTAGTAGTAGTAGTAGTAGAAATAGAAACAGACCGAGAACTAAAAGGAGACCACTTAAATATACACTACATCACAAATCATATATATATAAGAGCAAGATGCTAAAGAGAAAATAGAAAAGGAAGTAAGATATGTAAATGTGGTCAACTCTAGAAAAAGAGGAGAGTAAGATAGACTAAAATTCATCAATAGAGGGATTGAATAGAGGGTCCAAATTTACACCATTCTCATAGTGTTCAGTTGACAGCCTCAACAACCACCCCACCTCTCCCAACCCTAAAGAATGACAGCAATTCAATTAAACATGAATGAACAAACGCTATACCTTCACCATTCATGAAATAATAAGAACTACCATATGATTTAAGCAAGTTTGAACTTGCACATCAAAGCATACAAACAACCCCACCCCCTTTATCTTCCCTCGCTTCCTCCCTCTCCTCCTGAAATGTGCCAAACAAAAGACAACATGCACTTAATATCTTCAACAGCATGGATCCGAAAAACAAACATATATTAGTTTTCTTAATTTTACAAATCAACCAGAAAAAAAATAAAAATAAAATAAAATAAAATAAAATAAAATAAAAAACAATTATATTTGCTTAATTTTACAAATCATTAATCAACCAGAAAAACAATTATTCATTTAAAAGTTCCCTTTGAGGCTCAATACATTCTAACATCAGTCATTTGTCAACATTATGGACACTCAAATTGTACCAATCGTGTTTTATTTTGTTCGCTGTTAAAATTAAAACCCAATTGATAGATTCTTGGAAACAAATAATAGCAGAAAATTAAGGCATACTAAAAATCACCTATATAAATGATTCCCTCATCCAATAATTATTTTTCTGATATTGATTAACATGACTCAAGTACTATTAGAAGGCAACATGCAATGTTTATTAATATTCTCTAACTGAATTCAGACCTTCCAGCTTCAAGTGTACGAACAGAGCATGATACATCAAATCCCAGTATCAAAATTCATCAAGGAAATCAATACTTGCTGACTGAAATTATTAACAAAAATAATTATCACAGAGGAGTACCACTTTGCACGAGCCGTCATCTTGAGTGCGGAGGGTTGCGGCGCAGTGCAGGGTCCCTCGGTTGCAATTTTGTATAGTCCATAAAGCTGCAATTGCACATCATTTGAGACTTTCTGTGCATTCCGATCAGCTGCTGTGGCCGCCACAAACGCTGTAGCAGCACTAAACTCCTCATCCAATTCAGTGCTCTCAACCCCTTCCCAATCATCATCACTATCATCGCTATCACCGCCAACCACTATACTCTCACTTGCCGCTTTGCCCTTATCAGCAACCACTGCTTCCTCCGCAATAGCCCTCGAACTTTCCGCCTTCGGACCACCCGTATTGTCAGCACTCGATTTCAAGGGTTTCAATTCGGTTTCGACGGATTCGGCGCGAACGATGCTGAGGTTTTCATCTCGGAACGAAACGACTATGGAGATGAGCTTCGCAAGAAGGAAAGAGAAGATTAGGCCTATGAATACCGATTGCGCGAAGTGAAACCAGTCATCCATCGCTATCAAAGAACCCTAATCTGTACTAAAACCCTAAAAACTTACAAAAGCCTCTAATGAAACAACGTGAAATGATGAATCTATCGACCTATATATACTTATATATCTAAATGTCAAGCGTTTGATCTTGAGCTCTTGAGAAACCCTAGAAGTAGTGTCATGGATTAGAGAAATGAAAACACTTAACTGAATAGGATCGTGGGAGCGGTAGGAGAGAGGATCTCTAGAGAGAGAAACTCTAGAAAGAGAAAGGGGAGGTGAGGACTGGCGCGGGGGAATACCTACAAGTTCACATTAAATAGCCCGCGGCGATAGGCTCTTGGTGATCGTTGTCTTGGTGAACTGCGCACTCTTCCAAGCACGTTGTTCACATTGTTTTGAACTTGACTGGGAAAGTAAAAAAATGCAGAGGTGGTTTTGATTTTTGTGTCCAAATCAGTAATTATTCATAATTTTCACGGTAATTATTCACAATTTGATTATTGTGCAGGTAAACCCATTGAAATATTCAATCCAAGTCAATTTAAACCATACAATTTTATTTTTATTTTTTTCAAATTTTGATGCCAAAATAAATAAATTTGTTTGAATCAATTCAATTTTGCTGCTTAAATATAAGACTTATACATATAACATTATCAAATTGGAATTCTACGGTATATTGAAATCAAAGGTTATGAAGCACTCATTTCGCCATTTTTTTATGAAATTAGCAACGTTCATATCACAACAATCAGATCCAACTATATGTTTTCATTTTTATTAGTTGATTTTATTTTATTTTTTACTCTTTTTTTTTTTAATAACACGTTTCATAAATTATTCATGGAGTTGGAATACTCCACAATTTTTTTTTTTTTTTTTAATGAGGTCTAATAAGTGTCCTTGAAGTGACAGCTACTTTTTACCACATTGCTTTAAACAAATTTTTACCATATTATTAGGGTTCACTTAGACTTAATTACATATACACAGTTGTAATTAAACTATATTACAAGAGAAACCAAACTAACTCAAAATGTTCTTAGTTTTTAAGTTATGATTTGTAATTGCTGTAGCAGTCGCGATATAATGGATTCGGACAAATATCAATGTAAATTTGTCGAACTGGTTGATTCGTGGAAGTATATAATGATATTTGACCCTTAAAAAAAAATAGAACCGGGACAATACACCGCGTATCGACCACGACGAATCATGAATTTAAGTGAAATATTAATTTTGTTCAATATCAATACATTAATTTGATTTTACTTCACCACTAATTAAATCAAACCACTAACAAGCCTGTGGCCTAGCGGTATAAGGCTCTTACTTCCCAAAGGGAGGTCAAGAGTACGAACCTCACTGGAGTCAGTGTGTTACCATGTGCAACCAAGTAAAGTAATTTAAAACTCCGTTTGTTTTGAAGTAAAATATCCGCCTGATTAACTCGACCTCAATTTCATCGTAAACCTTTGTCAAAAATCGACAAAGTAAAATAATATATATATATTTTACTTAAAAATATTTTACATTGAAAAAAATTGTAAATTAAAGAAGACAGAAAAAAGGTTGACTAGTGATTTATTCATCTTGAAATCACCTAATGTCATATTTTCAATGCCATTGATGACCATTTATTTACATAATTACATTCATCGGTTGGTGGGTTTTCATTTGAAACAGCATGTTCTACTATCAGTTTTGAAGTTAAAGAAATAAAAAGGGAAATTATGTTGACCTTATTGAAGTTTCCATCAAACTATGTGTTTTATTTTTTTGTTATAAAAATTATTCTTTTATGCATGTGGGATAAAAAATAAAATGAAATTAATATTTTTGTTTCAATATTTATTTTTGGCCTGAATTTGAATTGAATTCGGAACCTGATTCATTTTCAAGTTATTCAACCCATATAACAAAAATGAAATCCTAATAACTGTAAAATACTTTTTGGCTTGAACTTTTTTGTCCATATTAAATTTATGCAGGGGCGTAACTATAGTCCAGGTTAAAAAAATAAATAAATAAAAATTAGTATTACTACTTCTTATCTGCCATAGTCCAGCCCAATCAGTCATAGCCCAGCCTATGCCCAATTCATAATAAAACAAAAATAACAAATGGCTCAGCCCAGCAATGAGCAACTCTCTTAACAAAAGAAAGAAGCAACAACAATAGGATAACGAAATCTCACTTATCTTATAAGAGAATATTCATTACATTCAAATAACTCTTTTGGTGTAATCAAAGTTAAATTGTTTTTTTTTTTTTACATATCTTTGTCATAAGCATTATTGTGTTCATTTTTAAATTTTTATATCTTTAGCCCCTCCCACAGTACAATCCTAGCTCCGCTCCTGAATTTATGTGTATAGATCCGAGCCAAACTAGTGGTGAATCCTTGATTTTCTTTTTCCTCTGCACAACACACAAAAGACTCAGCCCAAGCATTAGAAAAAGAGCTTTCACAACATTCAAAGGAAAGAATTCCTACACCCGAAACAACAAGAAAAACTTAATTGCACCCGTTGTATTAATGACGTGATATCAACAATTAATTAGACATTAACACGTAGAGATATGACCCACTAAAATAATATATTTTTACTTGTATAACATGATACAATTGATTAATGTCACAAATAAATAAATATTAAAGGTACAAGAAAGTTTTTCTTCCTACCAACCCTTCAAAAAATGAAGCAACTTTGTCACTTCATAAGCTGCCTTGTTGTAATGAGGAGGATATCAACTACTATTAGGAATTTCTAAATTTTAACTCTTTTTATTTTTTATTTTAGAAATGGTCATTTCCCTTCCCCTACAAAGTTTGTGTTTTTTTGGTTATTTTTAGGGTTAAGTGTAAAACACCCCATGAACTATGAGAAAACTAACAACTAACCCCCTGAACTATAAAAAATGCAAAAAAATTCCTAAACTATTCAAAAAAGTTGCAGATCATCCCATCCGGCCAAGGTCCGGTGATAATTAGCCGTTAAATTTGGTTAAATTTTTTAAAAAGACTATATTGCCCTTATAAACATGAAAGGACAAGAGTGCCCTCAAATTTCCAACCTTCAACTCCAATATCCAAACATGGCTTAAACCAGCTGGTTCGGTCACCGGAGAATATATACAGGTTGTGAGCTCGCGGTTCTATCAAAACTCACCTTTACTGGGTTATGGTAGCTTGGAGCTTGCTGCTGGGTCAGTCGAAACTTACCGGAGGGGGATGAACGGAGGTCGTTGCTGGGTCAATCGAAACTCACCGGAGCGGGATGAACGGCGGTGCTTGTGGCGGTTCTGGAATCAACAGGTATGAGCATAGAAAGAGGGAACGAACGATCATCAGACGGCCTTAATTGCCCTTCGCCTTGGCCACGAACACCGATGATGGTGAAGAGGATGTCGGTGCTTGACGGGCAGTAACTGTTTGGCTCACAAAGTGGTCTGAGGTCGCTAGCCGATGAATGGCTGACCTAGAACGCGGGCGTGCCAGAATCCTGATGGACTCGAATATTTCTTGCCAAACTATTCATATTGGGTCGAGTCACCGACCTAAGGTGATTCAGGCGAGAGTTGGAAAGTAGGAATGACCCTTTCCTTAAGGTTGTTATTGCCTTTAAGAAATGACTTTAAACATTTAAGATGAGTATCAATTAGAAGCAACTTAAACTGAACAATAAATATACCTGAATTTGCAAACCTTTCTTCATTGAACTTGACTGATTACAATGATGAATGAATTACAAACTCTTGATTGAAATGGAAACTAAAGTATTGAATGCTGAAAGATAACTAAGTACTAAACTGATAGTGCTAAGCTGAACTTGCTGAAATAAAAAACTAAGTAATAAACTGAACTTGATGAAATAAAAGCTAAGTGCTAAGTGATATGAATGCTAAAGGTTGAACTTCAGAAATGGTCTTGGACCTTTTCCTTGTGAAGCTTGAGTGGGTATTTATAGAGGTTTCCACCTGGTGTTGTCCCTCTCAACCGTTTCTCTAGAAATTGATTGGTTGTAAACTGAAAGTGACCCTTCCTAACCACCTTGCTGAGCTGGTCAGGTTGACTGACTTGCACATCCTTTTATAGGCAAATTAAAGTATGTCTGACATAGTATTTTTAACTAAGTGGAGCCTTGCCTTTCATGCTTGATGATTTTGGTCTTCAAGCCATTTTCAGCTCTCTGCACCTGTCATGTCTGGCTTGATTTGTACATTAGCCTGGAGGCATCTGATTACTGACAATTCTGACTCTCCTCGTCAGATGTAGGTGAGAACCTTCCAATTGTAGTTCTGAACTTCTGATATTGTCAAGTTGTCCTTTTCTATTTCAAGCTCTTTTCACGTTTCCAGACCTGACTTGTTGGGTTTTCAAATCATTGGGATTCCAGCCAATCTTCATTTGAATTACCCTAAAGATTCTTAAAGTGGTTATGACCCGAGACCCCTAATCATAACCATATTTGGTCATGAGTCTTGATCATGGCCATAGTGACTAAAAATCTTGGTTAAGATTCATGATCATGACCATTATGACCGAGAGTCTTATAATCATTGTGACCGAGAGGAATAACGGTCCAGACTCTTGATCATGGCTGGTTATGAGTCTCTGGAGAGACTTTGGATCGCGACCATTATGACTGAGAGTCTCATGACCATGACCGTTGTGATTGAGAAAGTTGTAACTGAGAGTACTTTGGCCTAAACTCATGACCATAGTGACTAAGAGAAACATGGCCTAAGACTCATGATCATAGTGACTGAAAAGATTTTGGCCTAAGACTCATGATTATAGTGACTGAGACTCTCATGACCATAGTGACTGAGAAGATTTTGGCCTAAACTCATGATCATGACCATTGAGACTGAGAGTCCCAATTGTGTCCGGTTATAAGCTCAAAACCTCATCTTAGCTTTAATGACCTAAAAATTCCACTCTTCTTCCTTCTCAGCCTTAAATCGAGTCACTATGACTAGAAATTAATCTTTCGCTCTGATGATCGGACCTTGTAATTTCTGACCACGTGGCATGATTGCCTCGAATTATATTTTAGGTGTTAACAACTGCCCCCCAACTCTATGAAATGGGTTCATAGCGAATTTTTGTAGAGTTATATTTATTTAGGCCAGTTTTTTGTGTTCGGCCCGGGACCAATCAAAGCTAATTTTGCCTTTAATGTATGGATAATTAAACCCAAATATTAACAAGAAAAGAGAAGTGTACAATTTCATTTCTTATTTACAATGGCCATTTGTACCTAGGCCATATTGAAGTGTCCAACCCGTTCAAGCTTCAAAAATATACCAGATCAGAACACAGCAACAGCTACGGACCACTTTTTGGAGAGAGAAATATAGAAGCCAA